ATCCTCTTCTTCTTCATCCTCATCTTCTTCATCCTCATCTTCTTCATCCTCATCTTCTTCATCCTCATCTTCTTCTTCATCATCCTCATCCTCTTCTTCTTCATCCTCTTCTTCATCCTCATCCTCTTCTTCTTCATCCTCATCCTCTTCTTCTTCCTCTTCTTCATCGTCTTCCTCTTCTTCATCGTCTTCCTCTTCTTCATCGTCTTCCTCTAAAAAAAAAAAAAATCTTCTTTTTCTTCTTTTTGTCTTCCTCTTGCAGGTCACTGCTCATGCGCAGATTTTTTATCGGTAAAAAAAAAATCGGCCGATTTGCCCACTAATTGCCGCGAAAATCGGCCGATCGGCAAAATCGGCCGATTTTTTTCCAACTTTACCGAAAAAAAAAAAAAAAAACGGCCAAAATACCGAAAAACGGCCGACCAAATCGCCCACTAACGATCCGAAAATCGGCCCGATTTTATTTTCGGCCGAAAAATCGGCCGATTTTCGACCCATCTATGGCCTGCATAAATACACAGGCATGATTTTTATTTCTATCTTAATTTCACCTTACATAGATCATTCAATTAACAGAGTGCTGAGCGATCAGATAACAGTCTATGTGGATAGAGCTGTAGTACTGAAAACAGGAGAAGTGTGTCCTGGGGTCTGTAAAGCCAACCATACAATCAGATTGTACAATCTTTTAGATCTACTGTCAACTATGTAGTGTAAGAACCTGCCTGATTATATAGATGGTGTGCCCTCCTATGATATAGTTTTGGTAAATCTAAAAAAGGAGGTTGCACAGAGATTGTACAATCAGATTGTATAGTGTATAACCACCTTTATACTTGTGGTGCACCAAAATGAAAATTTTGGACTGAAAGCTCAGGATGCATTTGGCCAAAACACGAAACGGACAGTTTTTTTTTTTATAAAACAAAATATACACACACACACACACACACACACACTTGACTTTTTAATTAATATCATGATTTTAATTAAAAATACATTTATTTTCAGCACCATTTAGGCCAATAGGCTGCTTTCACACTGAGCAGTTTTTGAAGAGCTTTTGCTTTAAAAAAAAAAAAAAAAAAGGAAGAAAAGCTCAAGAAAAAAATGTATCCCTTTAAATTCAATGTATGTCTTTACATTGGTCTGTCGCACTTCCCTTGGAGGTGCATATTAGATCAGTTAAGAAAAAAAAAAAAAAAAAAAAGCACCTTCCTATTGAGGCCTGATTCATGCAGTGGATATAAAAAAAAAATAAAAATCTACATACCCCTGTTAAAATGAGACAAAGAAAAATCCTTTCAGAACTTTTTTCACCTTTAATGTGACCTATAAACTGTACAACTCAATTGAAAAACAAACTGAAATATTTTAGAGGGGGGGGGGGGGAGTAAACATAAAAAACTAAAATAATGTGGTTGCATAAGTGTGCACACCCTCTTATAACTGGGGATGTAGCTGTGTTCAGAATTAAGCAATCACATTCAAAACCATGTTAAATAGGAGTCAGTACACACCTGCCATCATTTAAAGTGCCCCAAATTAACCCAAAATAAAAGTTCAACTGTTCTAGTAGATCTTTCCTGACATTTTCTTAGTCACATCCTACAGCAAAAGCCATGGTCTGCAAAGCATCAGAGGGATCTCATGGTTAAAATGTTTCAGTCAGGGGAAGGGTACAAGAGAATTTCTAAGGCATTAGATCTACTATGGAACACAGTGAAGACAGCCATCAAGTGGAGAAAATATGGGTGCAACAGTAACATTACCAAGAACTGGAAGTCCCTCCAAAATTGATGAAAAGACGAGACGAAAACTGGTCTGAGATGCTGCCAAGAGGCCTAGAGCAACAGTAAAGGAGTTGCAGGAATATCTAGCAAGCACTGGCTGTGTGGTACATGTGACAAAAATCTCCCATATTCTTCATATGTCTGGGCTATGGAATGGCAAGATGGAAGAATTTCCTTAAGAAAAACATCCAAGCCCGGCTAAATTGTGCAAAAACATATCTGAAGTCTCCCAAAATCATGTGGAAAAATGTGTTATGGTCTGATGAAACCAAGATTGAACTTTTTAGCCATAATTCCAAAAGATATGTTTGGCGCACAAACACTGCACATCACCAATCGAACACCATACTCACAGTGAAGCATGGTGGTGGCAGCATCATGCTTTGGGGCTTTTTTTTCTTCAGCTGGAACTGGGGCCTTAGTCAAACAAAGGAATGGCTTCACCAGAAGAAGATTAAAGTTTTGGAATGGCCCAGCTAGAGCCCAGATCTGAATCCGATCGGAAATCTGTGGGGTGATCTGAAGAGGGCTGTGCACAGGAGGTGCCCTCGCAATCTGATTGTTTGTTGTTCAACTGAGTTGTACAGTTTATAGGTTGCATTAAAGGTGGAAAAAGTACTGAAATGATTTATCTTTGTCTAATTCTTTTACATCACAGAAACCTGAACTTTTAACAGGGGTGTGTAGACTTTTTATATCCACTGTACCTATGTGTTTTTTTTAGTGCTGTTTGCAGAAACGAACTACAATCCATTTAACATGGTTTCGTATGGAACATGTTCACATCTATGCTTTTTTGAGCTGCTGCATTTTTGGAAAGGGTCAGGGACTTCTTTAAAACGCAAAGCTCTGCGTTTTTGGTTCAATAAACTACAATACAAATACAATACTACACGACTACAATAGAAACGCTGGAAAAAATGGACGTAGTGCGGTTTTGACACATTTTTGACGTGTTTTGCGTTTTTATTCCGAAAAATGGACAAAAACGCAAGCTGCATTGGTGTGAAACCAATGCAGCATGTTGCATTTTTGAGTCACATGACCTATATATTAAAAAAAAAAAAAAAAAAAAAAAACAAAACAAACAGTAATAAACGTGTAACCCACATCAAACCAAAATTTCCAATGAGCTACTTTGCCACGTGTAGCACAGCCCAACTGCGGTTTAAATGGGCTGCCCTATGCGTATCACTAGAAAAATGAGCCATAAAACATGCAATCCCACTACTTTATGTGTGAATGGGGTGTGAAAGTGAAATTGGAGCATTTACACAAGAACAAGGAGACTCCATCTGTGTATTTCCGAACGCATGGCAAACTGCACAGAAGATGCATGTTTGACATGCATTTCAGAAACACTGCAAATGTGCATCATGTTTGTGTTGTCATTACATATTAAAGGCACCCCAAGTTTGGCAAATGCTTCTGAGGTGATTGCTGTATGTGGGGCAGCTCATTCAAGTGAATGGGCTGTTCCATGCGTGACAAGTGAAAACTCCCAAAACAAATGCATGCGAGAATGAGTTTTTGCTACGTGGAGATGTGAACCTGTGGTCTGACAACTGAGTGTCTCCATCAACTCCTTCCCATGTACTTGTATAAAGATGGTCATACACAAAGCAAACTGATTGTACGCTCTCTGTACAATTTTCTTTAGATTTACCAGAACTATCAAATAGGAGGACGCACCTGAACAATCTATTCAACTTGGATCAAATCAGACAGGCCCTTGTACTACATAGCTGATAGGAGGTCAAAAGGAGATTGTACAACCAGACTGTATAGAAGCTGGGTGGAAGGTAGAATTGGAATGAAGAGTGGTGAACACACCCTATCACGCTTTAACCTCCCTGGCGTTATTCCTGAGTGTAGCTCGGGGTTAATTATCAGTGTCAAAAGCGGTAACCCTGAGCTACACTCAGGAATACCCTGCAGCGTTGCTCAGGGATTCCCAGTTTCACTTACCTTGTCCTGCACTCCTGCGATGTCCCTCCTGCAGCATCCCCGGCCATCTCCTCCAGCCGATGCCGGCATCTATCTTCCGGGTTCCAGTCCCTACGAGCGTCGGGACGTACGGGGGCTGGCACCAGTGGAAAATTAAATTTTTTTTTTAAAAAAAAAGTGATATTCACAAAAATACACTAAAAATATAAAATTACATAGTAAAACATTACTGTATCAAACCATTACACATACATTTTGTCCCGAGTGCTTTGTCCTGTGCCCTGCCTGCATTTTTACTGTTCTTTCTGCCTGGAAACTGAGAAATGTCCATGGCGTCCAAAAAGCGTCCCTTTTAGGTCAAAAGCGGTTTTAGACCAGCTAGAGAACAGTGATAGTAAATCAGATCCACTTGCAGAATTGAGTGATAATGATTCGTGGGGAAATTCGTCATCAGACACTGAAAACGATTTTACGACTTTGATCAGCGATGTGCGAACTTGGCGCTATATTTCAAATTTCAGTGTTTTTTTGTTTGATTATATTATTGAATTAAATTTATTATTATATTATTAGAAGGTAAAAAACCTTCTGTGTGCAGCAGTGCCCCCAACCCCCTCAATACTTACCTGAGCCTTATCGCTTTCCAGCGATGCAAGTGACAGCCTTAGCTGTCCCAGGTCTCTTGCCTCTTCATTGGCTGAGACAACAAGCGGGAGCCACTGGCCAGTCACAGCCAGTCAGCCAATGAGGAGAGCGAGGGGGGGCTGAAGTTGTGGCTCCGTGTGTGAATGGACACAGAGCAGCGTGTGCCCCCATAGCAAGCTGCTTGCTATGGAGGCATCCGACAGAAAGGAAAAGCCAGGAAAGCCTGCATGGGACCCAAGAAGAGGAGAATCCAGGCTGCTCTGTGCAAAACCACTACACACAGCAGGTACGTATAGATATGTTTGTTATTTTACAAAAAAATTAAAATGAACCTTTAGAATTACTTTAAAGCCAGAACCAAGCTTACAGCTGGCTGTAAGGCACTCGCATCCCCTACCTTTTATGGTGTCTCCTTAGCAGGTTGGCTGCGAAGAAGACACCAATGTGCGCATGCTGACGGCCAGGGGCGGACTGACAACTCATGGGGCCCCTGGGCAATAGGGGATCATGGGGCCCCTGTGTCCTTACCCAAACTCAAAAAAGCCTATGAAAAAAGGTACCAGGGGCATCTCATGGGGCCCCCAACTGACTCCTGGCCCTCGGGCAGTGCCCGAGTTTCCAAATGGTCAGTCCGCCCCTGCTCACGGCCATTGTCCATTAGGCACATACAGTGCCCAGAAAGACACCCCCACCTGATTCCTACTGAAGGCGGCTGGAGCCTGTGGCTTCACTGCCCTCAGTACCTTACTCTGCAATCTGGAAGAAGGAACCAGATCAGATCATGGAGGACATGATTCCTGTGTACTGGTCAAGCTTGGCTGTGCAGGTAATCCCAATACAGTCGATGTGTGTCCATTCACAAATACGGGGTGCCTGCATGCAGCTCAGCGCTAGAACAGAAAAATAAATGACGCATTCATATTGTACCATCCTAAGCGCCCGTGTGAATGAAACCTTAAAGCACCACCATACATCAAATCTTTATTGCAGCTTACCATTCCTTACAATATCTCACCAATGTGGTATCTGCATTTTTTGTCCTTTTTTTTTTAATCTGTTGACCTAAAAAAAAAAAAAAAAAAAAAAAAAAAAAAAAAACTAGGGGGGGGGGGGGGTTTAAAATGGGTCACAAAACATGACTTAGTACTTAGTGGCAAAATTCCTCATATGACATCCTCCCAGAATGAGAGAACCATCGCCTGTCCATTTCCTTATATGGAAGGCAGGAGGCGGTTAAAAAAAAAAAAAAAAAAAAAAAAAGGTGTAGTAACCGAATCAGCGGTAGAGGAGGTATAGCACGGGACCGCCAAATCTTTCGTTCATGCTGTTTAAATCTGGTGCGATTTAGCATCCAAATTTTATCTGTTGATGACAAAGTCTTAAAGGATAAAGCACTATTGTCATGTTTGTATGAGGTGGTGTGGTTCTGATGGAAGGAGATTAACAGAGGATGTGGACATTGATCCAAGACCATACAGGAGTTCCACATGGTCCATTAAAAAGGGACAAAGGGGTTGATTGACCGAGCAGTTTCTGTGAGGAGGTGAGCGGACATTTGGTGGTGGTGTTATCACATTATACAGTTGGATTAAGCCCAAGAGGTGTTCACGTATTGAACAAAAAAGCACATGATTTTATTCACTGAAGAAAGAGGACTTTTATTAATTCAATTTAGAAGTTTTCAATAATGTTGTCAATGATTGATGACACTGGTATTGATACATTTATATATGTTATGATAGATATTACTTATACTAGGAGCTGCACAAACGTATTGTTTTGTATTTTGTTGAGGTGTAATATATGTGATACACACAAGGTGCATAGCTGTTGACACAAGGATAACATTTTTAATAGAAACATTTTTTTTTTTTTTCACTATTTTAAATTGGATATATGCAATGTAAAAGGTTTTGAATTGCACTAGGAAAAGGTTTTCATTCATATATTTCATTTAGCAGCTTGCAGGGTTTTACAGGTTTTTAGAGTTATTCTCTTTCAAGAGTACGCTCTTAATATCTGGCGGAAGAGAAATTTAACCTCCACAAAAACGGAAAGGCTTTTGCACAGTAATAGATGTGAAACCATGGAAGAGACTCTTTCAAGAACTAGTTCTGGTCAGCTCAGTAGAACTGGATGCATTCCTACATGAACAAAAAAATAACTGGATAAGAACATCTACAGTCAAAAAACACCAGGGACGGTTGCTGCAGGAAATATCCTGCTGCCTTTTGGGAATCAGGAAAGAATTTATTTTTTTCTCTTTCGCTGGAGCAAATTGGACCATGCTTGTAGGATTTTTTGTTTGCCTTCCTCTGGATAACTGTTGGCTTAGGATTTTGGTTGAACTAGACTGACTTTTTTCAACCTAACTACAGTATGCAACTATGATCTATTCGTCATAACAATGTTATAGCAACGATTGTACCATGATTGTATGATATTGACAATATCAATGTTATAGCAACGTTTGTACTATTGTATTAAATTGGACTCATGAAACAAATATATATTCTATGTCTATTGGGATCTTAAGCACCTGCCAAATTTTATGCAGCAATTAGTGCAAATTTAATATGCTTAGTAAAGATAGAAGCCAGTGTTTAGAATGCTATACAGTTAAATGAATATATGAGCAATGAATCACGACATGGAAAGCACATCAAAAGCGTGCACAAGCTTCTCTGATTCTGCAGCTCTTTTCATGTTCTTTTGATGCGTTGAGAAGTCAGGACCAAACACAGGAATGCATGGGGGAAGGGAAATAGGTGCAAAGGATACACCAGAATAAGAAGTACTGTACTAAAATAAGACATTTCCAGACCTAGCATTTTTCTTTTTTTATACTTACAATTCCTTTAGTATATGACACAAAACTAGAGATACACAGAAATAGCGGCTATCAGATAACCTCTGTAATCTAGGTTTTGAATTTCTATTTAACATCTTTGGGGTACATTACTTTTAGTGGCAGCATCTCCAATAATTTTAATTTAAAAATGTCAGTGAATTCAAAGTCATAGCAGTGAACAAGCTACTTCTTAGTACATAGAACATGCACATACTGTACATACATTCTCACATACAGTTAGGTCCATATATATTTGGACACAGGCACAATTGTAGTTTTTTTTCAAGTATTTACCAAAACATATTCAAGCTATAGTTATATAATGGATATGGGCTGAAAGTGCACACTCAGGTTTAATTTGAGGGAATGTACATCCAAATTGGAGGAAGGGTTTAGGAATTACAACTCTTAAGAGTAGCCATCCCCCTTTTTCAAGGGACCAAAAGCAATTGGATAATTGAATATAATCATAAATAAAATGTTAATTTGTAATATTTTGTTGAGAATCCTTTACTGGCAATGACTGCCTGAAGTCTGGAACCCATGGACATTACCAAAGACTGGGTTTCCTCCTTTCTGATGCTTTGCCAGGCTCTAACTGCAGCTGTCTTCAGTTGTTCTTTGTTTGTGGGTCTTTCTGCCTTTAGTATTGCCTTCAGCAAGTGAAATGCATGCTCAATTGAGTTGAGATCAGGTGATTGACTGACTTGGCGATTGTAGAATATTCCACTTCTTTTCCTTCAAAAGCTCCGGGGTTTCTTTGTGTTGGATCATTGTCCATCTGTACTGTGAAGCACCATCCAATCAACTTTACTGCATTTGGCTGAATCTGGGCTGACAGTATATCTCTAAACTGCAGAATTCATCCATCTGCTTCTGTCTTCTGCCACATCATCAATAAAAACACCAATGACCCAGTGCCACTCGACGCCATGCATGCCCATGCCATCACACTGCCTCCCCCATGTTTTACAGGTGACATTATGTGCTTTGGAACATGAGCTGTTCCAAGCCTTCTCCACACTTTTTTCTTCCCATCATTCTGGTACAGATTCATCTTAGTTTCATCCATCCAAAGAACTGGTCTGGCTTTTTTTAGATGTTTTTTGGCAAAGTCTAATCTGGCTTTTCTATTCTTCAGGCTTATGAATGGTTTTCACCTTGTGGTGAACCCTCTGTATTTGCTCTCGTGAAGTCTTCTCTTGATAGCAGACTTTGACAATGATAAGCCTACCTCCTGGAGACTGTCCTTCACTTGTCTGCATGGTAAAGAAAAACCCATTCACAACATTCAGAGGATCCTCCAATCATCCACCACTGTTGCCTTCCATGGACATCCATGCCTTTTTATGTTGCTGAGCTCACCAGAGCATTCTTCTTTCCTGAGAATATACCAAACTGTTGATTTGGCCACTCCTAATGTTGCTGCTGATGGATTTGTTTAGTTTTTGAAGCCCTACAATGGCCTGTTTCACTTGCATGGACAGCTCCTTTGAACGCATGATGTAGGTTCACAGCAATAGATTCCAAATGCAAATACCACACTTAGGCTGGCCATACATTATACAATTTTCTGTTCAATTTCTGCCCAATTTCCTTTAGATTTACCTTCAACTTTGTAGTGCAAGGGCTTTCCTAATTGGATACAACTGAAAGTGTTGTTTAGGTTTGACCTCCTATTATATGGTTTTTGGTAAATCTAAACCATAAATCTCAAGTAAATTGTATAATGTATGGCCAGCCCCAGAATCAACTCCAGACCTTTTACCTGCTTAATTGACAAATAAAAGGAATAGCCCACACCTGGCCATGAAACAATTGTTTCTTTTAATTCAATTGTCCAATTACTTTTGGTCCCTTGAAAAAGGGGGGTTGGCTACTCTTAAAAGCTGTAATTCCTAAACCCTTCCTCCCATTTAGATGTACATACCCTCAAATTAAACCTGAGAGTGTGAACTTTCAGACCATATCTATTATTTAACTAATCGCTTCAATAGGTTTTGGTAAATACCAGAAAAATACTAAAATTGTGCCTGTGTTCAAATATATATGGATCTAACTATATATACACTCTACTTGTGCAACGGATACTGCAACCTCTCTTCACAAGATCACATGGATAAAACCAATTTAACCACTTGCCGCCTGGCTTATAGTCAAATGACGGCAGGGTGAACACCTCGTCCCTCCGGGAGGGTGTCATAGGACGTCCTACCTGAATCACGCTTTGCACGTGCCCACTGAGGCGAGATCTGTCACCGGCTGTGTACCTCGGGACCCAACCGATGACAGATCTGTCAAAAAAAAAAAAAAGGAGAAACCATTTAATAAAATAATAAAACATTTTTAAAAAAAATTATCAATGTTTTTTTTTTTCGTACCAGTCAGTGTCCCTGATCACCACCACACCAGTTATATGCTGAACTGCAGTGATGACAGTATGTAAAAAAAAATAATAAAAAATTGTGAAAATAATTTTTTTAATTTCTTCATTTTTAGAAAAAAAATTACAACTTCAAAAACCTCGCCATGCTCTTATGAAATACATCAGACTGTCTACTTTGCAAAAAGGGGTCATTTGGGGGATATCTGTACTGTTCTTGGATCTTGGAAGAAATTAGATTGGCTGTCAGTACTTCTGGACTGATCAATTTTCAGATATTTCCCATAGTTTGTGAACTCTATAACTTTCCTACAGACTAAATAATAAATACTGATTTGGGTTATTTTCACCAAAGACATGTAGTAGAATACATCTTGGCCTAAATTTATGAAGAACAATTATTTATTTACAAACTTTTACAATAGAAAACAAAGAAAAAACGTGTTTGTTTTTTTTTAATT